TTGTTTTAGGTGCTTGCTCAAAACTTGTTATTTCAACAAATCTACCCAAAACCTATAATTTAGCTGCCTATATTTGTTTCTTTTTTCTTTTCTTTTTTACTGACTTCCTCTGCGTTTTAATTGAGATTGTTTTATGCATACCTGTTAGTGCTTTGTGGATTTTAGCTCTCTTTAATCCGCAATTTTATCTGTACATCGCATTCTCAGCATGTTCGCACTCCTGTCTCAGAAGCGCAGAATCGCGCCCGCACCTGCGCAGAAGCGGCACTTCAGGATGCGAACGCTGTGGATTGCAGATGTGTCTCCATCACGGATTACGTCCACAACCCGAGGTTCCACTACACATGTGGATCTACCCCATATGGGGGGTTAATCACAGTGACAGCAGACTGGCAGTCATTGCAGTTCACACGACAAAAGGAAGATGGAAAAGGCAGGAGGAGGGCTGCGTGCCTTGTGCTTTTGTTACCTGCACAGGTAGGGTCACACCCACCTCTAGTCACATGCAAGAGGAAGTATGTCCCAGCCCAGGAGAAAACAGGAAGTTCTGACTGGCTGGACCAAACATCCCCCTGCATGTCCACTCTAGGAAAACAAGGAATGTTGTATTTGACTGCTACTTATGTATCACATCCCACATAGACCAGACTACAAATAGCTGTGGGTGACTTTCTCCCCACCACCCTCATCTTTTTGGTTTTTTCCACAACACATTTATGAAATTATGAATTGAAAATATCCAGGGAGTTCTAGGGAGGAAGTCATGCATATACAAAGGAAAAGACTGAGAATAATTCTGAAGAGCAAGGGTCTGGATCAGTAGAAGGATGGAGAAGCCAAGATGGGTACATACAAATAAAAGGCTTTTGCAAAAGGGTCTGGTGGGTAACTAGTTAAGAGAATCCCATACTCATGTCATGTTCAGTATTTGACTATTGAGGATTGAAAGATGACTTGCATTTGTTAATGAGGAGCCATAGTTCAAGCACCGCAGCCAGAGTTTGCCCATCCCTTTGCAGCACTTCAAATGCAAATGTTTCAGTGTCTGTTCACACCGTCAGTCATGTGTCATGAACTGATATGCTGTGCATGTGAGTCACATCCCAGAGAGGCTTTCATGAGAAATGTATTGGTCGTTTGTTAAGTTTTAGTTTACTTTTACGATTTTATAGTATTACGGTGTTTAATGATGTTACTGTGCACCATTTTCGAGGCGTTAGTGATTTAGCAATATTCTTCTAAATAAATAAAAGGAGAAGACAAGGCCACTGCCCACTTGAACCCACGTGACAGGAAGACCACAAGGCGCAAAGGAAAAGAAAGCTTTCTTCAGATGACCAGGTTGTATAGATGCTGTACTTTTGGGAAACGTTTTGGTGCAGTGAAAGCGGTGGCTGTCATGATGCCCAAACCTGAAGTTTCAGAGCACTTGGAGGAAGACTCAGAATGGGTTGGTGTTAATCCCCAAAGAAAAATATCTAGGATCATCCTGTGTGTTTTCACAGCTGGAAGATGTAGCCTCAGAAGATGTGGTCCCCTGCCCAGCTTCTCAGAAGCATAAGAATATGAAATCAGGAAAGGTCCCTTGAATACAGCCAGCATTTTCCTGAAGGTGGGTAATAGAGCAGAACAGGCATGTTCTGCCACTGGAGAAATTAAATCACTCAGGATCAAGTCAGGATTCAGCAGCCAGTTCCTTGCTGTGACAACATTTCCTTACGTTGTCTAATGGGTCACCCCATATCAAGTGATCTAACTTTTTTACCTCATGTCATCCAATTTTCTTAATATTTTGTACACTTGTTTGAACGATCAAAACTAAATTTAAATCTAAAATTTTAATTCTTTATCTCATCCCATTTTTTTATCTATGAGGGTTTGAAATTTCCAAAAAATAAATAACTGAGATGAAGTACTAACATGAATTCTGTCAAAGCGTTAATTCTATCATGCAACAGCAAGCTATCAATCTGCTTTGGAACACATTTTAAAAGAAAAGTCTGACTAGCTTTTCAGACACCTTTTAAGTGAATAACTTTCCAAAGAAATGCCTGTAGCAACTGATATTATAGTCTTGTTTATTCTGTTATATTTTACTGCAAGAAGACCCATTTATCCTAAATAGACCCCAAGGAGGCAGACATGTATGTACTATATATATATATATATATATATATATATATATATTTAATGTGATCCCAATATGAAATTTTGCAGGTAGCCCTTAGAAATATTAAATAATCAATGCTTTTTCTGGAAATTTTAAATCATATTAATTTTCAATCACGTTTTTAAATTTTAAATTTTGTAACTTTAATTTACAATTTAAGTAAGCTCACCCTGTGACATATCATATTAAAGCCTGTGAAGTTCCGAAGAGATTGGTGTTTTTAGTTTTGATGTATCTCAATCCTGGGCTGAACTTTAAAGGTTTTTGTGGAGTCCGGCAAGGCCAAAATTGTCAATTTTTTAAAAAAAACATTCAAACCCTCATAATTAAAAAATGGGATGAGATAAAAACATTAACATTTTAGATTTGAACTTAGTTTTGATCATTCAACAAGTATACAAAATACTAAGAAAATTGGATGACATTAGTTTAAAAAGTTGGATCACTTGATATACCCAATAAGAAAGTTGTTGCCACTATGCCAGAGTCACTGGAGGTGCTGATCTGGTTGTTCTGGAATTATATCTAGTGTATCATATATCAATGCACCATCAGTCCAGTCATACAGATTTCTTTGTGGCTCCTGGGAAGGGCAAAGATTGATTGATAGCCCCATCCTGAACATGTTAACTCAGCTGAATTCTGCAGGAGTTGCTTCCTGCAGCAGCTTCATGGCCTAATCCTTTTCTTCTTCTTTTTTAATAAAAACTTGGCAAAAAGTCTTGCTCTGCTCAGTAGGGACTGGTTTCCAGGTAAGTTGCCTTACAGCCTGTTTCTAGGCATCGTTTGCTGACAAGTATGCCTTACCAAGCAAATTGGATTTACCCCCCAAATGATGTGCATAGACTTAGATTGTTAAAAGCCAACTGAGCTCTTGGATAAAACTGTCAACGTGAGGGAAAAAATGGTATTTTGCAGCATGTAAAACGGATCAAGAAAAGGTGGGAATTGTTTTACATCATGTAATAATAAGGAGGTACTGCAGAGCAGCGAAAAGAATATATTTTGCAATGATTCCTAACCAGAAATCTCATTTCACAACTGCATTTTGACCAAACCACGTGAAACTGAAGAGCTGAACCAATTATGCGTAGACAAATAAATACATAATAGCACGTGTCTGCAAAGCCGTTGAAAGGGCTGCTTTGCACTCTTCACACTTTGGGAATTCATTTTCATCCTTGTGTGATCTTAGCTCCTTCTTTTCTTCCAAAACAAGGGCCTCTCCCAGTCCTACTGGGAGATGCCAAAGATTGAATTTGGCAACCTGCCTGCAACACAGATACCCCTGCCACTGATCCACAATTCTCCCCCGCCCAAACATACCCCCATACCCTCCCACAGGAAATTGCCACTGAAATTATTTACTCCTTCTGCAAATGCTGCAGAAAATATACACCCCCATTTTCACATGGGGCTGAGGAGTTTTGCAAAATAGGGGGTGCAATTTGAATCCACTCATTTAAAGTCACAGCACCTCAAGAGAACTACCTGAAAATGATTTACAGATGGTATTTAACTCTGAGTAGACTTGTTAAGAAGGAATGTGAGTGGCGCTGTGGCCTAACCACTGAGCCTCTTGGGCTTGCCGATCAAAAGGACAGCGGTTCGAATCCCCGCGATGGAGTAAGCTCCTGTTGCTCTGTCCCAGCTCCTGCCAACCTAGCAGTACGAAAGCACGCCAGTGCAAGTAGATAAATAGGTACCACTGCGACGGGAAGGTAAATGGCCTTTCCGTGTGCTCTGGTTTCCACCACGATGTTCTGTTGTGCCAGAAGCGGTTTAGTCATGCTGGCCACATGACATGGAAAACTGTCTGTGGATAAACGCCAGCTCCCTCGGCCTGAAAGCGAGATGAGCGCCGCAACCCCATAGTTGCCTTTGACTGTGCTTAACCGCCCAGGGGTCCTTTACCTTTTACCTTAAATGTAAATGTAAAGGGACCCCTGACCATTAGGTCCAGTCAAGACCGACTCTGGGGTTGCGGCGCTCATCTCGCTTTATTGGCCAAGGGAGCCGGCATACAGCTTCTGGGTCATGTGGCCAGCATGACTAAGCCGCTTCTGGCAAACCAGAGCAGCGCACAGAAATGCCGTTTACCTTCCCGCCAGAGCGGTACCTATTTATCTACTTGCACTTTGACGTGCTTTCGAACTGCTAGGTTGGCAGGAGCAGGGACCGAGCAACGGGAACTCACCCCATCGTGGGGATTTGAACCGCCTTACTCGGAGTATAGCTAATGCTGGATACAACCCTATCTCATCTTCGCTGCGATGTTATGCAAAAGGAGTACAAATAAAAGAGTCCAGAGTTGGGCCTGGAGCAGGCCTTGTCAAAAGCCTGAGGGCTCTGCCACCTGAATTTTTGACTTACGTTTGTCATTGATGGGTGTGAACTTTGTTAGAAAGTGCTTGGTTTCTCATTGTGAAATATTGATGGAAAATTCCTGATCTGGCTCCTCCTCTGAAGATAAGGATATTAAGGTCTGCTTTAATGGCTGGAAGTTTAATTCTTCAAAAGGAGAAGGCTCCTTTGCTGCTTCAGTCAATCAGAGCGATTAGCCGCTTTAGAAGTGATCGTCTTTAAATGAGGAAAGAAAAGAAGTGGAGTCCTTTATGATACCTAGCTCCCTTATCGTGACTCGTGAAATTAGCTCTGCAGTTCTCCCAGCACTGTAAGCATTCAGATATCTGACTTCTTTCCCCCTTAAGTTGCAAAGTTTATGTGAATTTTGACCCCTTTTAAAAAATGTGGCAAGTAGCCATCACTCTTTAAATAAAGCAGCTTTCTGCAAGCTACGCATTCTGGAGCAGAGTTTCTCAGACTAGGGTCCCCAGCTGTTGTTGGACTGCAACTCCCATCATCCATAGCTAGCAGGACCAGTGGCCAGGGATGATGGGAGCTGTAGTCCAGGAACAGCTGGGGACCCAAGTTTGAGAAACACTGCGCCTGGGGACATCACTTTAACACCAGTTGGCTCACAGAATAAGTCTGCAGGGCCATTATGCGCCTGCTTGTCCAGCAAATCCAACAGACTATACTCCAAAGCAGCAGTGGAGAACTTGCAGGAGTCAAATTTGACCCATGATGCTGCTTTCTGAAAAACATATCCATTTGCTCCAAACCTGACATTATGTGCAACGCCCAGTCTCATAGCCTCCAACATTTTCCCAGTGAAAATAGGGATGTGGTCCTATTCCATACCCTCCAACATTTCTCCAGTGAAAATAGGGATGCCTTAAGGAAAAGTGGGACATTCCGGGATCAGATCAGAAACTGGGATGGCTTCTGCAAATCCAGGACTGTCCTTGGAAAATAGGGGCACTCGGAGGGTCTGCGTCTGAGCAGGAAAAGATGTGGTTGCAAATGAACAATTGGGAGTTTAAAGTGTGCGTCTGATGGTTTGTTCCTTGGCAAGTAGAGCTCTGCTCAGCACCAGCTGGCTGACCAGGGAGTCCTGGCAGATCAGCTGATGGGGAATTCGCTAACTTATAGGGCTCTCAGCACTGATCAGCTGACCACTTTGAAGTCCATCTGCAAGCAGCCCCACTGACCTGTCAAGGGTGGCTCATGAGATATGGGAGACGGAAAGATGTAGCCTCCTAGCGGGACCTAGTCCCCTACCCTGCTCCACAGTCGGTGTGCAAAGGACTGGACACAGTGGTTGCAGCAAAAGCAGATTCATGACTACAATATTTATTCTTAATTGTTTTAAACATTCACTCAATGACTATCATGGGGAAAGGAAAACAGTTGTGCTACTACTTAATACAAAGGTAATAAAAATATGTTGACTATTACATAATATAATAGCCAATAAAAGATGGGGGGGGAGATACCTTGTAATTACATGGTATTAAAGTACTGAATTTAGCAAGGTGACATTTCACACAACTGTCTTCAAACTGATCAGGAAGAGTTACACCTGCTAAGTCCAAGTTCAGAAGGTGAAATGTTCTACTTTGTAGCTCCAAGAAGGTTTGTTCAAACTCTCAACTCTTGCCAAATTTCCATGGTATGTACTAAATTCTGTCTTCATGGTTTATCAATATGTGTTAAGGGCTTTTCCTACAGAAGTGACAGAGCCACAATGCTACCTTTCCAGGGGTTATGTTGTTTCTACTAAGCTTGTGAGATGGTAAGATGGGAGGTTCGCGCAGTGAAGGCATGAGGGCAGAACTACTTCCACTGTGCTAATGTCTTGTGTCCTAGACTTTCCATAGGCATCTGGTTGGCCACTGTGAGAAAAGGATGATAAACTAGATGGCCCTTTGGCTTGATCCACCAGGGATCTTCTAATGATCTTAAGGCATAGCAGGCCTCGACCACTGGAGCAGCATACACAAAATCATAGGCAGCCTCTATAAGTCAATTCTCCCCCTTTTCAGGCAAGTGGCTTTGTGGGCAGGCCCTGGGCCTCCCTGGCAAACCGGCCTATTGCAGGCCGGATCGTATTCCTGTCACCAATGGGCCAATGGCAGCAGGAGTAAGGGGGCGTTCCCCTGGGCGCGAGACCAACCAACCAATTGCAGCCCTTGGTACTGTGCCCAAGGGGAATTTAAATGCCTAGCTGGTGGGGTCCTTCGGCCTTTCTCTTGCCATGCCCGTTCTGGTACTGGACTTTGTCTGATCACTGGGCTTTGTCGGATTTTCCTATCAGGGTCACTGGATCGTCACTTCCTGGTTCTCTTCCTGGCAACGTTGCTTCTCATCCCTCGCCGCTTCCTGAGCTCATCTGCCCCCCCCCCCGCCAAATTGTGGTTGATCTGCCTGCTTGTCTGTGCTTGCCAAGGCATCGGGGGATCTGGGGGGCGTGATTGCTGGGCAGCAAACATCAATGTTTTGGGATCTGTTGCCATAACATGTAATAATGGCCAATGTAGATGACTTCAAAATGCATTAGCCATATTCATAGAGGATACAACTGTGGGTGCCTACTAGTCATGAGATGGCAATATACTACCTCTGGGATCAGAGGCAGCTGTCACAGGGGAACAACATCAAGAGATGATTGTTGCCCTCATATGCTGCTCTTGGGCTCGCCAAACCATCTGGTTGGCCGTCATGTCAAATAAAACACTGGACTCAAGAGCCCAGGTATGGTGAATTATGGCCCTTCTGATGTTGATGAACTACAACTCCCATCAGCCCCAGCAAGCATGGTCCATGGCCAGGGGTGATGAGAGTTGTAGTTCAGCAACATAGGCCAAAGCATCCCCACACCCACAATAGGCCTTTGGTTTGATCTAGCGAGGCTTTGCTTACTCCTGCTTTCTACCTATCATAAATTCAGATTTTGTACTGAAAGGCATCTGCAATAGTTTGCTTCCCTGCCTCCCCCACTTATAAGAATGGAAATGACCCAGTAACATGGGGGGGGGAGGATTTCATTAATTTGGCACTCATGAAGATGGGAATGAAGTGAGTCACGCTGTTAGGAAATTTCAAAGAAATTCAGGCTTCCTTTCCCACCCTTTGGTGGCAGAAGAGTCTCCTCAAAATTGCCAACCTTATTTCAGATGGAATATGAATGAATGATTAAAACTTGTCAAAAAAGCAAAACTGCTGACACAATAAGCCAAGATTGATATGAAAAGGATTTTTCCCCCCTCCCTCTCTCCCTCTCCAGAGTCTCCGAGTTCTTCATCCATTTTCATAGACTGCATTTTCAACTCGAAAATATGTAGTTCAAAAGACTGGGAAGCTTTTAAAATCACTGACAACTTATACCGGGGGAGGGTGGGGGAGAAGGAAGGTTTTAATCTTCTCCCCACCTGCTTCCAAGAGGTATGTGTAGCACTCCAGATGCACAGCTGTTTTGCCTTGTAAGACATGTATAAATTAAAACTCAAAATACTCAGCATTCAGAATTGGTTTGACCTCTCCCCCTCCCCAAGCTTATGCATGAACAGTTATCTTTTCTCATTTATTCAAAGCTGCCTTTTTCTACAGTGTTCTGGGGAGGGAGGTGCAGGAAGAGAAGCGTTTTAATTAACGTTTGAAAGTCAGCAATCCTATTCACCATTTTTGCAACTGGAGAGGAGATGTGTGGGTAGCCACCGTGTTTCATTTAGAGGCTTAGGATGGGGTGGGGGGTGAGGCTTCTTCCCAGCAGAAGTGGGAAGTCCATTTCCTCCACGGAACACATTGTTAGAATTCACTGCAGTCATGGGATTTTTGTCTATCACATGACGGTGTATGTTTTGACTCCACAGAGTGGGAAGTGACAGAGACAGGATGTTTGTGTTACTGTGTTCCGTGAAGTGGGACTATTGTCCTTTGTTTTTTCTCTTTGCTGTCTGATGCTAGAGAGAGAGGGAGCCATGTTGCAGTGCTCTGTGTGTGATTATATGTAAATAAAGTAAATTAGCCGAAATGCTGAGTTGCTGAGGTCTGTTACGCAAGCTGCGAAGACTCTGCGGATCCCTAAGTGTGCCGGTGTCTGTTGGCATCAGTCGCTGTGATGTTCGGGCTGAAGAAAGCTTATAAAGCTCCCGAATGATTGACCAGGAGGGAGAGAACATGCCAGTTGGGTATGTGTCTCTGCCAGGGTCCTACTCGAGTGTAGGACGAGCTGCTGACACACACACTGTCCTAAATTGCCTTTGGGCATACCACATAAACAGTGGCTCTGAAGGGGACTTTCGCATACCTTTCCAATCTTCCTCAGAAACCAGTTTATTTTGAAAACGTTCATAGGCTGCAAATGGTCTGCAGGAAAGTATCTTGCACTCTTGTACAAGCTACCCAGCAAGGTAGAAGGAAAATAGTTTATTTAGTCCCCACCCTGACTAATTCACAACATAGTTCATTCCCAGAGGTTCCACACAAAAGGCATTGGGCACAGGACTCAGTGTATGGAGAAGTACACATTTCACTTCTTAAGAGAGGGTAAATGACAGAGGGTTAGGTTTGATACATGTTCTTTATTTTAAATAACAGATCCTTACTTGGTATGGTTAAACAAGGAATTGCTCCCTGAAATAAGGAAATAGTGCAGGCATAGGCAAACTCAGCCCTCCAGATGTTTTGGAACTACAACTCCCATCATCCCTAGCTAACAGGACCAGTTGTCAGAAATGATGGGAGTTGTAGTCCCAAAACATCTGGAGGGCCGAGTTTGCCTATGCCTGAAATAGTGGCAAGCCTAGTGGGGCTGGCATCTTCGGTCAGTGAAACAAAATGAATTCTAGGACAGGGATGAGGAACCTGTGGCCTGTTGGACTCCCATCAATTCCAGCCAGAATGGCCGATGGTCAGAGATGATGGGAGCTGTGGTCCAACAACATCTTGAGAGCCAGTGCTTCCCCACTGCAGCCCATCCCTGCTGTAGAAGATGTGCACAGATTGATTTTCACAAGTCAACAAACCCTTGATACAGTCCAATGTTCTCCTTCCAGGAACAGTGAATGAAACTAATACTAATCGGCATGGTGTGTGTAACTGGTGAAGCCTGTTAATTAACAGTGAGTGCCGACAACTCCAACTCTCTCCAACCAACTAACCACAACTCTTGAACCACAAACCAGGCAACCAACACAAAATCCCTTCTCCTGACCAGCACTTGGTCATATATAAATGTATTATGGTCCCTCTAGTTCAGCCCCAGCCAATCACATTGTGTCATTGTGTGTATGTGTATTCCTCCCATGTCAAAAATGCAAGAAATGGAAATTCACAGAAATTTAGTTGATCCCTGATATGAAACTCTGTCTCCATGTGTAGCAGGGATTGGAATTTTGCTGGCTGATCTCCTCCTGATTTCCATGTAGCCACTGACTCCAGCCCCAACTTCTGCATACTGTGCTAAAGGTGAAGTTGGCATTCCTATGTGCAGTCAGCTGTCCTTGTATATAAATTCATTCTGACTTTCAATTTTATTCACCCAACCAAGTTCCTTCCAGATGTTTTAGGCTACGGTGAACG